ATGTTTAGTGTAGCCAGGATGTCTCCTCAGGATGTTAAATGCAAGGTTAGTTAAAAATCAGAGAAAGGCGGCAGTCAGGGACGAATGTTATTATGACGGTAAAAGTAACCATAATATTTGTCTTAATGTGTAATGTTATGTCAAATTGTTTTAGATACACACCACGAAAACAACAGCCACACACATTATTTTCTTCATGTTTTGTCTACTGCTCTGCTCAGCTGCCAAGCTGGCATATCAGGTGACGTCACGGTTCGACAGCCCAGAAAGGATTAATATTGTATAGCAATGCGTGGTTCGGGGTCTTGCTGCTTCCGGGCTGCTTGGGCAGCCTGGGGTTGGAAGATCTCTGGACTTGGAGTGTTAATGCTTGCCTGTGACTCTTTGAATAAACCAGCACGGTTATATTTTTTATATACTCAAGTGGTCTGAGTCGTCCCTCTGAGTTCCTGGTTTGAAAGAACCGGATGAGGCTTTATGATGGTTTTTAGGCCTTTATGTGTGTACATTAATGAGGAAAAAAATGAACTGAAATGATTTTAGCATATGGCTGCAATATAACAAAGAGTGAAAAATTTAAGGGGGTCTGAATACTTTCCGTACCCACTGTACTTTCAGCTATCAAAATGTTCAGCTCCTCAAAGTTATTCATGCTTCTATTCAGAAGTTTTCTAAAATATTTTGCTTTGTTTTGAAAATCTTGCCCCATTCAAATGGGGAAATTTAGCTTTGTTTTGAAAATCTTGCCCCATTCAAATGGGGAAATTTTCTTTCTAGTTTGTTAACTGAGAGACAGACTGGGACAGCACTGATGGACTAACCTGAAAGCCTCTCAGGTGTATAGATGTATAAATAAGGTGAGGGTAAAGTGGGTCTACCGCTGGGTCTGGCAAAGAATACGTAAATGACACAGCAATATCAACCACAAAGTGCTGTCTATGAAAAGTTAAGTGTTTGTTAGCTAGTGTTAGCGAGCCATCACTAGCTAGGTTAGCTTAGCGTCATTTACACGGCTATGTCTATGCTACCGCTGGACAAGAAACATACAGAATATCCCTTCATTTAAACTTAACCATTTAGTTAACTTGTAACAGATCGAGTCCTCTATATTCGGGGCATTTTGACAGTTAGCAAAAATGGCTATAAACTAGCCCAGTTTTCTTGCATCACAACATGAAACCAGGCTCTGTTTAAAACTTAGCCAATTTTGTATTATCTTGTTTAGTTCCCAAGCAAACACCTAAGAAAACAGATTGTGTAACATGTGTACGAGCGTATGAAAAACACCTCTCACGTCGGCACAGGTAAAATACGCAAACTGCATCCACTTCAATAAAATGCTTGTTTAATTGCTGGTTCACACTACGTGTAGACGCCCAGCATGACGCACTTTTTGCCTGAAGAAATTCGTGAGAACATTAGTGAATGAACAGAGACAGGAGTAGTTTATGTTGCCTGTTATGTTGGGATGTTAGACGGAATGAAGAATGTAATTAAACGTTTCGTAAAACATTTTCGGTTTTGTTCTACTCTGCGTTTTGCCAGTAAGGAAAACAATATTAAATTGCATAATACGACATGTAAATATGCATAGAAGACACAAAGGCACGCTCCAGGCTCAGAGAATCGTGCAACATAAGGGTACTGACCTTTCTTGGAGTGGGTTTTGGGATTCTTTCTCTGGGCCATTGCTTCGTTAACGCTCCAAAGCGGGTCTTTCAGTGATGAACTAACAAACCAGATGAGCTGTAATTATGACAACATAAACGAGGTGAGCACTGCTATCTATTTGTGCTCACAGCGATAGGGATACAAGTTGACCAAAAGTCACGTCCTCACTTGGATAACAGCAAAGCCAATGTCCATAGTAACCCTGAGTAACTATTCTAATTCTACCAATTAAAGCCACAGAAGCGACTTATGGGTGGAACCAGAGGCGGGCTTTCATGTCATTGGACCAATCGTATTCCAGCTCAGCTTCCCAGTGTCGTTTGTCTCTGGAAAGGAGCAAAAACGTGGCAGAAGAGGAAGTTGCGTTTTACACATCTGGGGCAGAGAGCAATAATGATTGAAATTCTACTAAACTTTAGTTGTATAGTACATGTACATTCATAGTTGTTAAAGTATATAATGATTAAGAAAACAGAAATGAAATCACATGCAATAAACTCATCTTACAGGGTAAGAGCACAGACTGATGGGGGGGGCTTAATCCCCTGCCACTTTCCCAAGTTAATCAAAATGCCCCTCTCATCGTTTGTTTGTTTGTTATTGTTTGTTATTTGTTATAAATAAATATATGGTGGTCACTATGGACATGTCCAAAACAGTGCCAAGCGCACGGCACTAAAGCCAAAGAATTTTCCTGTTTGTTTGCCCTGCCATCAGGTAAGGTTAAATAAACTACTAAAGTCTATTTCACATCCACCCACAAAAAATATGTTTACCAACAGAAACGGGGTTTATTTCATAGATATATACATTTTTTCAATCTATGGGTCTATTGGGTTTTAACTGAGCCTTTATCCTTCAGTCCTTCCCCTAATATTTTTCCAAACATTAGTTCAGTATATAAAGTTCTAAAATAAAACAACCAAAGCAACTCGTTGTCTAAAACACTTCAGCCCTGAAAGCTACTGGTAGGCTTTTCGGTTGAAGGGTGTCGTTAAGTTAAAAGAAAGACAAAAACATCCACAACGTTTGATCCACACACCTTTGCTTAATATAATCTTTATTACTTTTTCTTATTGGGTTGAATACAGAACAAGTTTACATCTCTTGACTTTGTGAAACACTGCCATATTTTACTAACAGCAGGCGAAGGAGATAACAGAAAATCAAAGTTTTGCACATGATTGGGTGTTAATGCTTCTGATTGAGGTCCAGCATGTGTGTGTTTCCATTAAAAGAGGGTGTATTTAAATCTCCTCTCCGATGCTCCCTTTCTCCTCTGACCAGGACAAAAAATCCAATTTGAGGGATCAAAGTGAGCGACAGGGCAGAACCAAATGAAAACATGAACAATATTGTGACTATTAATCATCAAAATCCAAGGACATCTTTTCTGACAGGTAATGACGAGTTCACAGTCAAGTGCTAAATGTAGTGATTGACAGTTCTGAAACATTATTTAAAAAATCAGGACTTGGAAAGAACAAGTTGCAACTCAGGATATAAGAACAATAACTACCTCGAGTAATGGATTTGTGAAAAGACCCTGAGAGCGAGATTTTATATATAAGAGTGTAGCGCGAAAAGGAGGAATCATCCATAATTGAACAATTTAGGTTAACATGCAAAAAAAAAGAAACTAACCTAAAACTCACCCTTTAACTGAACACAAAGAATTTTCACAGTTTTATATGCATTTATATGTTGTGAAAAAAAACACAAAATCATTTCTCAGCCAAACTAACATAAGAACAACAGAACCAGTAGACCCAGACAGTCTGTTCTCAACTCATATACAGAAGATCTTCATAAAGCTTTTTGGATTCAGAGATTTTTTTTTATTGCTAAGTCTGATTTGCACCCCGGCTCGCCACGCCCTACGGCAAGCTGGTTAGTCCACAACACAAACCATCAGTTCCACACAACAGTTCTGCAGCATAAATGTGGTATATTTAATACATGGCTTCTTCTCAAGTCATTGTAGAAACTCACACAAACACACACACACACACACACACGCACACACACACACACACACACACCTGGGCTCCAAATAAATACATTTAAAAATAGTCCATGTGCATTCGAATGGAAGTCCAGTATTCATATGGCCGTGCATGCACATACATACATACACGCAATCAGACATACATGAACGCATAATCCCAAAGGAGAGGGGTGTACAGAGAGCACAAACAAGACGTGTAACAGTGTTTGGAGAGAGTTTCTTCATCAAGATGGAAAATTTAGTTCAAAATCAAAATGTGTTACTCAACATTTCAGTGTAATTCAATTCATTAATTTGTACTTTTGTAATTTTGAGTTTGTACATATGTGCTCCTTCTGTAGGAAAGCAGACTGACCTTCTGCTATTGACTGGTGTTTGGGGCCAGGTGGGAGGACAGAAATATAAAGACTAAGACACAAAACAGCAAAATTGTCTTTGAAAATCACTTAACTCCAATAAATTTATCATGATCAGTGGATTCAGATTAATGTGTGCAGTAAGACCTGACTGAATAAAAGAAATGAAAAACAAACAGCAATCATTCTGACTGCTGGACATTGGAGGAGGCTACTGCAGTTTATTGTCCATGCAGCATCATCTACTTATTTTAAAGCCTCCTCTGTTCAGAAAGGCACCGTTTTAGTAAATATGACTCGGTAATCAATGGGAACAGTAACGTTAGCACGTCTAGCATGTTTCTGGCTGGGTAACATTTTCCACTGCTTTCACTGGCCATTAGCCACTTACACAGACAAAGCAAGCATGTTTTGAAACACCAAAGGGGGTTGCATGGGATGTCTGTTTGGGAGACTTTAAGGGTGAACTGCACTAGAGCCACAGTAAAACACTACACTGGAGAAACATTTTATTTAGAATTGACTGCTTAAATGGGAAATTAGTCGCACTGTAGGCTCAGATATCATTTTTGGACCTTAAATATCTTTTGATCACTGCAACTGGTGAACTTTGTACTAAATATAAGGGGGTGGACTGGGACTTTGAGTTTGACATTAACATTAAACAAAGTGAAGGAAACTCCCACGCTTGTTCTCTCTTGATTGTGTTGCGATATTCCACTGTAGTAGTACTAGTAGTAGTAGTTTTGAAAGTTGTTAGTGCCAGTTCACAGCAGCGTCACTCAGTCAGTCCGGTTGCGGTTGTTCAATATTTATCTTTTTGTCCAACTACGTGAAAGCCTGAGCAACGCTGCTTTACAGATCTGCAATGACCCACTGAGGTTCGACTCGTTTTACTTATGAGGTTGCTTGACATAAAACAGACACAAAAATGTACAAGGAGAAAAATTAGCAATGTTGAGCTTCACATGAAAAAGAAAATACACATACATACTACCTGCACTTAGGCTTACACAAGAGGGTGAAATTACCCCTTTTACTTGTGTTTGTTTGCATGTGGAGCAGGATAATACAGCTCAGGAACACAAACCGTGTGCACTCACTTGCACCCCTAACCTATTCATCTCTTTGCCCTTCTGTCCTACCATTCATTCATCCATCCATAAACCCCGTTCACTATGTCATCTAACTCCATCTGGAAATCAGAGAGATACAGCTGAGGAGTTCAGTTAAAAAAGATCTGTTGTCTATTTGAAAATCACAACTGATTGTCTGTAACGCCTATTCATTACATGTGTCTTCATGTATCTTATAAACTTATGATAAGTCAATACTGGGTTTGAATATTTCATTTACATGTTTCAAAAACCAAGTGAAGTACATCTCAAGTAGAAAGACAAGTTGTTTTGTCTCAGGGCAGACTGGAACAGGAAAGAGGGACAAGTCCTTATTTACCTAGATACAGACAGGACTAAAGAGGGACAAACAGAACAAAAGTGGTCCAGGGCCAACTCATTACTACAATGTTACTGGACAAAAACTTAACCAAGCTAGCAATGCATTAGCTTGGCTAACTTGTGTCCTCTGGTCAGTTAGCCCCAACTAGCAAGTGTTTTGCCTATTTTGGTTCTTTTCTTAGGAGCATCTAATAATTTCACTAAGCTAATGATGAGTTAGCTTGATTAATTCGTGGTGTGATCACACAGCCCTGGCTAGCTTGTGTTTTAACCTGTGGTTGATATCTGGGCTGAGTGTGCAAAGCTCAGACTTATGATAAAAGCTAGCTTGGGTCATCTGACCATACCAGAAAAATTAAGCAACTTAACACATCAGGAGTTTAGTTAACGGGTGTGGCCAGTTAGCCCCAGCGAGTAGGTTTTGACTGTGGCTGATATCTTGAGAGCCTCTAAACAAATCTCAGGCTAATGACTAAAGCTAACTAGGGCTGCTAACTATACCACCGAAATTAACCAAGTTAAGACATTGGTAGCTTGGTTACCTTTTGTGGTCTGGTGGGTTAGCTTATGTTTGGCCCTGTGGCTGATCTCTGTTTAGCCTGCAAGTTCAGCTAGTGAGCGTTAGCCATTCTAATAGCCATAAGATTAAGCTAATGGGTATACACTGGTTTTCTTGTGTGTGAGTTAAGGCCCACTGACTAACAATGACTTGGCATTTTCTAATTCTGTTTTATACTAGTGTCGATACTGAGTTAGCCCTGGCTAGCTATGTCTGAAGCCACACTAATGAGTTTGCCCCAGCTAGCTCTGGTTTGGCCCAAAGCAGAAAGCAGACTAGCAAAAAATAACCACTGCTAGCCCTGTTCAGGAAGACGTAGGATTTAAAGGGTTGCTTACAGAGCTTCTTGTCTGTTGTTTTAATGGTTGCAGTTAAAATGCAGAAATTGAGGTAAACTGAACCTGGGTCAAGTGTTAGCAGTTATGTTAACACACCAGAGCCCCTGTAATAACCCATGAAGGAACACTAGGGGGCGAATATGGGAGACAGATGGGAGGCACACTCATACACAACTAAAAATTATGATTTGTTCAGTTGTTCAAAAAAAAAGAATAAAATACAATTCCCCCACACACATACACCTAAATATCACTGATAATCACATACACCGGAAAAACAAAAAATACTCTAGCACTGCGTGCCACATATTCAGCTCTTTGTATACACATGGAATCAACTGAGAATGATTATGAATGAGAAATTAACACACACACACACACACACACACACACACACACACACACACACACACACACACACACACACACACACACACACACACACACACACACCAACTCACATGGTGGTTCTGATGAATTAAGGGATCAATAGTGTGATGGGTTTTTATAA